TTAGTAGAATAAGCAGGAATTGGATTTCTACGGTTGTTTGAAAACCCAAGTTGGTAGGTCATTACAAGATCTACAGAGTTAAAGAATGAAATGTACACCCTGGAGTGTTCAACACATCACATGTTCCTTCTGAAACTTGATTTAGAATTGCCGCAACTGCACATACCTATGCTGTGAAGGGGTTGATGGGTAAGCATAGGTTGCCAGTGGTTACAGAGAGGCAGACGTCGATACCTCCTAAATCCCAACTGCGTATTATATGAAGGAGTACACCTGCATGCTGATTGGTTGATCTGATATCCTGTTCTGTGCTTTGCTGTTTGAACGCCCCTGGCCAGAATATTAACATGTGCAGGTGTGCAGCTATGCAACCGTTCAAATGACAAACATATATGTCCCCCAACATGCAGTGATGGAGAAGGATTGAGAGGCATATCTTTCACTTCAGTTTGAACCTAGTCTAAAATATGAAGTCCTCCTTCATTCCTTCAATCATCTGATATGAACAAGATTTTTAAATAAGCTGAAGATTGTCATTTCACACTAAATTGTGAAACAGGCAGAAACTACTGTTTGTTCAAAAAGTTTAGTACAAAACATACCTATATTTCCTGACAGTTAGAACAATTAATCAGTGGAACAACCTGCCTCCAGAAGCTGTGAATGCTCCAACACTGGAAGTTTTTAAGAAGAGACTGGATAGGCATCTGTTTGAAATGGTATAGGGTTTCCTGCCTGAGCAGGGGGTTGGACTAGATGACTTCCAAGGTCCCTTCCAACATCATCATCATCATCATTATTATTACATGAGCACAGCAACAAAAATATATTGTAGAGTGAATGGGCAAGCATTTTCAAGGTCCTCTGACTTATCTGTTTTCTTCTGGTTCATGTTTTTTCTAGTTCTCTTTTCTGACATTCTTGCTTCCCTCTGCTCTATTTCATCAGCTGATTTTTCACTGGCTTCTTCTATCTTTGGCACCTTGTTCCAGAACCTGATTCTTAACTAATACTACATGGGAAAAGTATCTGGGTAATCTGTTTTGCATAATAAATGTCCTTTGACCAGAATTATTATTTGTAAACTGTGCAACTTGAAACTCAAGTCAAATGCAGCCTACAGTTCAAAGCATTTATCAAACTTCTTCTTCTGGCTCCCCCCCCCCCCAATTCTGCAACCCAATGAAAAACCTTGGAAGGCTATTATATTGCCATTTAGCTTTACTTATCTTAAATTATGCTTGTTTGCAGTACAAATGTCACCAAAATTCCGAAGTCTGAATTTTCCTGGAAATCTCATTAATTTTCTCCTCTGTTTTTACTCTGTGGTGGGCTTTCTGGTGATACATTAAGTATGGAAACTATGGTAATGTGTTTCCACTATAAGTATAAGCTTTAAGGATATTTCTCCTATTCAGACAAGGAAAAACTTACATGCATACACAGACATGTATTCCTTTTCAGGCATCTGGAAAGTTATTAAGTGACTCCCACAGCATTTTGCATTCCCTAACAATTATTTCTGTTCATGAGAAGGAAAAGAACAGAAAGTTTTTGGCAGAAGAAGTCAAAAGTAATTTATATAATTTATGTTTATGAAGTAAAAATGTAACTATTAAAGGGTGCTTAAAATTAATAATATATGATATATAAATGCAATCCTTACTCTGGTTATGTGGTTTAAAATGGTAAATAGGCCAAATCCTAGTGTCTGTTCATTCTTCCAAACATCTGAAAAGCAATTCTTGGTAGTGCAGCAGGATATGCAACACAGTCAAAAGGTGGAATATATTTTTGCATAAGGCATTGTTTTTATAGAGGGTACCATTAAATGCAAGCTATAGTTGTAAATGTTTTTTAACATTTCTAAAATATTTTGCATTATTTAAAAATAAAGTCAAATGCCTCAAAATAAGCAGAAATATTTAGCTAACTCAATAGTTTGTTTGCCTCTCACAGAACTATTTTTAATGATCTTTTTAAACTTCCGTGCTCTTTGTGGAACATTGTCAATCTTCCAAAAAAAAAAAAAAAAGTTAAATACTGCCTTCTGCGCTATAGAATACCCGTTTACTTAAGCTTCCTGGAAAAACATTCATATCATTCCAAGGGTGACTAAATGTTTTCCATCTTCATAGTTAGCATTCCAGACAGCTTTTCTTTTCCCTGAGTTCATTACATGAAAAATACCAGTTCCAAGTTCAGATGTAGAGAATTTCTTTCCTGGTGTCCAAATTCCTAATGCAGCAACAAAATATTTTAGAACTACATTGCTTAGCTTTATCTTTTAATTAAACCTTTACAGCATAAATAGAAGTATGGAGTTTACAAAATCATAAGAGGTCAAAAAAGGGTTCTGGAAACCTTTCTTAGAAAAAAAATCTGAATATAGTAAATCGTTGAAGAGAGATTAGTTGAACCCTGTTCTTTATTAAAAGAAAGAGCTCATTCAGATCCTCGGTTTTTAATATGAAGGACAAAGCAGGTTTGCCATTTTCAAGGGATACACACACACACACACACACTACACTGCTGGATTCCAGTCTCTACATTTGATTGCCTATAAGGGTGTTAGACCTTATGAACGAGCTACATCTGAAGTGGCAATTTGCTATAAAGTTCACTTAAGCATTCAGGCAAGAAATCAAAGTAACAAGTTAAAGGCAGTGAGAAAGATTAGTCAGGGAGAGAGTTCTAAGGTTAAAAAAATGTAAAATACTTATGATCTATCACTAGCCTTTCATATACTGGGTCACTGAACAGCTGCAGTACAGCATTTCTGTCTGTAAGACTCAGGCATGGTATTGAAAATTGAAATACATATTTTCTGAAGCCTGAAAAAAGGAAAATGTGGGGGATAAATTAGAAAAAGTCTTATGTTCCACTTTTGGGATTAGTGAACACTTCCTAAGAGTTTTACAATGATGCTGTAATCAAGCCAATTTAGCCTTATTAGATACCTCTTAGATCTAAGATTCGAAAGACCTACTAAAGATAATCCTTGATTTATAACAGTAATTGGGAAAGCAATTACCATTGGTAAAGCACAAGCACATCACTTAATAATGACAAATCCTGCAAGCCCAATCAGGGATAGTATACAAGGGGATGTGTGTGGCAGTGTGAGGATTAGGAAGGATGTAGGACAGTGGTGGCGAACCTATGGCACGGGTGCCAGAGGCGGCACTCAGAGCCCTCTCTGTGGGCACGTGCGCCGTCGCCCCAGTCCTAGGTCTTCAGCTGGGTTTTATAAAACCTTTTCGCTTTAGGCCTCCGCCACCGTGTGCAAAAAAAAAAAAAAAGGTTCAATCAATCACTCAATTTCAACTTCTCCCAGGGAAAAAAAAAGATCTTGCAAAGTTGGAATTGACTGATTGAACTTTTTAGTCCTACCCAGTCTGCTGTTACCACTGCAGCCATGCCCACCCATGGGCTACACCCACCCAATGGGCCACACCCACCTAATGGGCCACACCCACCCAGCACCCGACGATGTATAAGTGGGTTTTGGGTTGCAGTTTGGGCACTCGGTCTCTAAAAGGTTTGCCATCACTGATGTAGGAGATGCGCCCGAAAGAGGGTACACAAGGCAGAGAAAGTTGTAAATGGTGATTACACGATTGCAGGACATTTCGTAACCAGTCATAAGTGTGAACAGTTTGCCAAGCATACAGATTGTGATCACTTGATTGCAGAGGATACTGAGATGGCTGAAATGCTGAGGACCAGACATAATCTATCGGTGCCATTATAAGTTTGAATTGTTTCTGAACATATAGTCGTAGCTCGAGAGCTACGAGTAAAGCAGAAGGAAGACTGCCTTCAGTAAGGCCAGGGCTTTTTTTCTCATACAACGGCGTTCCGGCACCTTTTTTCAACAGAATTTGTGAAACTAAAAAAAGTTCAGTCAGACCTTCCAACTTCTTGCGGAAAAAAAAAAAAAGATCTCACAAGGAGTTGGAAGGTGTGACTGAACTTTTTTTCCCTGCAGCAGAAGAGAAACATCCCAGAGCTGGAAAGCCAGTTAGCAAAGAAATGCTTTCAGGAAGAGGGAGGAGCTGCACCGGGAGGAGAAGCGGCAGGAAACGGCGCTGCCATTTCCAGAAGGGAGATGTGGGGCAATTCAGAGCAGCAAGCAAGTGCTGCTGTCTGCTCTGCATCCCTGTGCAGAGCTGCTGTGTTCTCTGTTCTCCGTGAGACAGGCAACAAAGAACTGGTGGAGGGAGGTGGCGGGGGACGCCCGGTACAAGCCCGGTCACGGCGCAAGCCATGGGAGAGTTGTCAGAGGACAAGGAGGCAGCGGCTGCACCCGGGCAGGTGATCTGCAGGGTAAAGCTTAAAGAAAGTCCCTCCAGCAGCATCACTCCCCCCTTGCTCCAAAATGGGAGAGGGGGACCGGGCCTACCCCACCCATCCCATCCACCTTAGCATGGCAGTCTGGCTTGGAAGGGAAGTGAAAGGTTGCTAATCAAGGAATGGCCTGGCCGGGGGGGGGCTGAGTTCCAGCACCTTTTTTCTTACAAAAAAAGCACTGAGTAAGGCTGATATCTGATCATATCTGACTGACCACATGACAATGTATTATCATTACCTATTCCATGAAAGCAGTATATCAAAACGAAAATGTTTGAATAATAAAATTAAAGTGGGTCTGAAATTCTCCCAAGTGAGAAAAATTGCCTATAGTGAAAATTAGCACAAACAATTGCTCAAATTAATTACAGATCTAGAGATTTTTCAAAGAATGTCATGTCTCCCCCTTTGTTTTGCAGATAATACGGTAGCAGCCTGTATTATCTAATGTCTAATGCAGTCATACAAAACCTTACTCCACTCCAAAATGAGTTCTATTCATTACAGTTAAAGCTGATGGCACAGTTTTTCTGTTATTAGATAAGGGAAGGGCTTTTGTTATGTTTTAAAAAATAGGAACACTATAATCAAAGCTATCCATGCTTCCCCACAAAAAAGACAGGTAATTAATTTTTTTCATGTCTGACCTTCACACATTGGACAACATTCTCCTGGAACCTTTACAGGATTCAAGCAACTTTGTCCACAGGCTGTGGCCACACAATGGGACTCTCCATTGATGCACTGGCAGAAAGTACAATCATCTTCCCTCCAGCGGTCACCATGTGCTTGAATCTGACTATTAGCATAACAGCCTGCAGGGTTACTAATTGGAGAAATGGAATCTAAAAGCAAGAGAACAAACAAAAAATCTTTCTACAATTAAACAAAGCTTAAATAGTTTAATTCACTTACAATGATTAATGAATATTCCATGTTGGTAACAGTGGGTTGAAGTTCTCAGAATTCATTAAGTTAAGATCAGAAGTTATATATTGCAAGGCCACATTGATACAAGTACAAGGTTATATACAGGTAGTCCTCGACTTACAACAGTTCGTTTAGTGACCATTCAAATTTACAATGGCACTGAAAAAAGTGACATGACTTTCACACTTACAACGGTTGCAGCAGCCCCATGGTCACATGATCAAAATTCAGCTGCTTGGCAACTGACTCATATTTATGACAGTTGCAGTACTCTGGGGTCATGTGATCATCTTTTGTGACCTTCTGACAAGCAAAGTCGATGGGGAAGCCAGATTCACTTAACAACTGTGTTACCAACTTAACAACTGCAGCAAGAAAGGTCGTAAAATGGGGCAAAGTTTACTTAACAAATGTCTCAATTGGGTTCAATTGTGGTCATAAGTTGAGGACTACCTATACTTTAAAACTGTCAAAAAACCAATTACTTTTCTCAATATTATGAGCAATAAATTATTAGTAGTACCTTGTGAGATATAGTCTATTTTCATAGGAAAATAACAGAATTATACTTTTAGAGGAAATATTTGTGAGCAACGGAGATTGTATCAAATTACAATTAGTTTTGTATTATGTTGTGCATAATGACAAGAAATACTGCATATATATATTTGTATATAAATGTATTAAATATATAAATAACCAAACTCATTTCTGTTGGACCAATGTCAAGTTTCTTTCATATCTACTTTTAACTATTGCTATAAAACATTATATTTAGCTTTTAAGGTTCATCAATTTCTGAAGCTAAGTGACAAAAAAAATTACCTTCGCATACTGGACAGCACTCTCCTTCTGGTACATAGTATCTATCACAGTGTAGCTCGCCACATTGTGCGGAGAAACAAATAGATACACCACCTTGGCATTGACAAAACCGGCAAGTGTCCATTCGGAACATGTCTCCATCATTATATTCCACACTATTAAATATACACGCTGGCTTCACTTCTAAAAACAGCAAACAGGAAAAAAATATTTTTCATCGACATGCCGTACAACAAAACACTAGAAGGCTTCATTCGGTTTTGTACAATTCTGGTCTTAATTCAGACAAGAACCAGTATTTCTGTTAAATTTGATTTCTGGTTTCAGAGATTCTGGGATATTTTTCATTTAAATATTTAGCAATATCTAACTGTGATATATCCAATTCTTTCTCAGAGCATGCTTCAACTTATAGAAAAATATTTTATGGCACTTGTAGTGCTCGTAAAGGAATTGGTGATCAATAGTATGTATTTAATAAATCTATGGATTATGATATGCTTTTTTTAGGAAGGGAAAATCTATTGAGTTTATTGAAAAGTTTATTGAAAAATCTACCACTGGCTGAATTTATGGATATGCTATTGTAATATGCGTACTATACTATGTGCCATAAAGTATAGTACGCATATTACAATAGCATATCCTGTCAAGCCTAAATCAAACAACTATATCATAAAATTATTTCCAACTGGCCAGAAAACAGAAATGCAACAGATGCCACATTCCTTGCCTTCTTCATTAATACTTAATAGTTGGAAGTAATTCAGTGGTGGGATTCTGCCGGTTTGCACCACTTTGGCAGAACCGGTAGCTAATTTTTTGTTGCCCAGGCCCAGAATAGACTTCCGGAAGTGGCATACACACAGAGAACCAGTTGTTCACATATTTAAATCCCACTACTGAAGTAATTGTATACTCGGTGTAATTGACTAACCTTCCCTACTTCTATTTTCTATAATGAAAGGTGGGAGTAATGCAAATCTGTGTTTATTATTTCCCCAAATTTAGTTTGATGACAGAATTTAAATTTCAGGAGGGGGAGAATACACGAGAGTGGCCTGAAGGATTCAGCTGTCAAACTCAAGCAGATTTGAGGATCTCAAGAAAGGTCAGCTAGCTCTAACTTATTTATTTTTATTTATTGTGTTTTTGCTCCTAGGATTTCTTTGTCTCGGGTGCAAAACACAGTCCTCTTTGGATGATGATAACTACTTTTATATTTTTATACAATGAGACTGGGAGCAGATCTTACAAGTTGTAACATTATTAGACTCATAATTTCTAAACGAACATGAACAACCAGGCTTGCACACACCTTGTCTTCAAATCAAATGCAGCATGAAATCCTTAATTGTGCAATTAGATTTTTTTTTCTTGAAGGGTCATAAGGGCCAGATATACAAATATAGTTGCAGGAAAAGTGTCGAAATATGGTACATACTAGCTATTGTTTCCCACAATTCAAAGACAGAAAGCTAAGAATACATACAACAGTTGCCTATGCTCCCAGTATTACAATACCCTTTTTTTTTTTACTATTTCTCAAATAAAAACTGGTTGTAATTCAATTAGAGGCTCTGATTGACAATAGTATACAAACTTTACAAATAAATGAATAAAAAAGAATAAAGTATTTAGTAGTATCAGAAGACAATGGAAAACGCACAGCTTGAGCTTGTTATACCATCATGAAAATAATTTTCTTTCTTAGATTAGTACTGCCAATTTTTTAAAAAAACATTCCTATCAGTATTAATTACAGCAAAAATAGCAAAAATTTAAATAAACTTACCATTTACAGGTAATACATCTGTTCTAGAGTCAAATATCATACCATAACTACTTCAATAGAATTACTACTAATTAATAAACAATCCTGGCCTATAATTGCTTTCTTTATTATCATTATTACATCAAGAAATTACAGAAATACTTCTGGGTAGCTTTAAAAGAGTTAGACATAAGACACTGCACCAGTTCATTTATAGCTATCTATTTCTTTGTATAATTATATTAATGCTTATGTGTTTTGAAACAATTATGCAGCATTCTAAATAATATTTTAAATATTGTATGATTTAAAGATTAAATTTTAATCTTTAGCTTCTTGTCGTCTAAAGTCTTATACTCAAGACAGCCTTGGTTATAGTATATATTATTGTATAAAAGTAAAAAGTTGAAGATGTAATATGATTATCTTCTACTGTGCTAAAAAGAGCTGGAAGTCAACACCTTTTTTCTTCTTCCCTTTCTACACCACAGTTTCTCTTTTTCCCTCCCTTAATTTCCCACTATTTTCATTTTCCTTTGTATTTTACATTCTGATAAACTAATAATTTTTTAATAAATATTTTTTGTTAACTTTTTATTTTTACAATCAAGTGCCTAATAGACAACGTGATGACTGAGTCCATTAGTGATTCCGTGGTACATGTAAGCTTCTTCAAACTAAGTCCAATATTACACCCTCTAGTACCTCCTCTCTTCTTCTGGTAAAAGACATTTTTCCACACCAAGCAAATATAATTCTTATTGTTGTTAGTAAATATACAATTGCCTATCAACATTTGTTACATTTTTCTAATAGTGTCAATAATATCAGTTTAGAATATCTTTTCTAACCAAATCATATCTTAATTGCATTTGCACTCAATATCCATTTATTCAGCCCATATCCTATTTTTGCTAAAAAAAATTGATACAGATTAAAAAAAAGACAGCCTTGAGGTGGTTAGTAGCATAATGCTTTTGGAAATGTAACATTTTTCAGTTTCTAATCTAGAATTTTCATAACAATTTTATATTTGCATACTAACTACTTTCATAAGTTTTATTTGCATTTAATGAATGTTATTTATAACTGATTAAATGATTTTAAATTACTTTTAAAATTTAAATACCCTTTATGGATTTAAAGATATTCAGTAATAATATTTGTACAGTTTATAATTTCATTGACGAGGATGATAATGAAGTGCCTTCATTAGTTTAACCACTAAACTAAACTGGCTCTATAATTTCATTAATATTGGAATAACCTCTTTGTCTTGGATTACTGATAAATTACCATAAATCCAATTTTACTTGGTTACACCATACTATACTGACAATAAAGGATGAGCATTTGGAAAAACATTCTGAGTCTTAATAGTAATTTTGGATAGTTACTCCATTCTGCTGATAATAAATTTTATTAGAATGTGATGCCACTATTTCTACTTATTCACATTATCATTTTAATTAATTTCACAATAAACTACTTTCCCTACAGCAATGGGAATGTCGGGAGGCCTTCACAAGCATACTTTTTCATTTCTGATAAGGCCATTTTGGAATGGTTATCCAGATAGTCCTTGTTTACTGACTGCCTCATTCAATAACCATGCAAAGTTACACTGGTGTAAAAAAAAAAAGTTGCGACTAATCTTTGCATTCACAACCACTGCAATGTCCCATGGAAAAGTGATCGCTATTTGTTTGCTTTGCAACTGGCTGACACAAACAGTTAAATGGAGAAAGTGGGAATAAAATTATAAGTTACAGACATGTATTCAGTCACTTAATGACCGAATACCAAGTGAGGCTTTAAGCCTGTTGCGATTATGTGATTTTCCACTTAGCAACTGTGGCACTTAGCAACAGAATTGCTGCTCCCTAATGTGATCAGTAAGCAAGGACTACCTGTACATTCAAATGGGACTCCTTGTCCTCCATCAGTGGCAAATTAAAAAGTATGTGGGCATGTATACCTGAATATATTTGTGTATATGTGCATATGTATGAACAAAGAGAAACACAGATATAAAAACAAAAACAAAATCCTGTTTTCTGCTTTCTTCAGCTACTGTAAAGTAGAATGCACTACTCAGAACTCTTTAGCTAAAACTGAAAAATGTCAATTATTCTTTAAGTTGGTGCTTTGTGGTTTGAAGATACATTTATATTTTTAGCCACTTTGATAAATACATATTAAGTGACTACTGACAACTTCTAAGATAAAACTGGTCTGAAGTTCTGTTTAATATTTTAAAATGATCTCTTCCTAAGAAAGAGACAGAGGTGATGTCTCCTGCCTCAGGAAGCATTCCAGAAGCTTTAACCAGCATGTACAGGAAACAATTCCACAGAAAGATCTTTATCAGTAGTTGCAAGATCTGACTCATGTCACAACACAAAAACACAAGTCTTTTAGTTAAGACTTTTTGTTCCCCACACCCTTCCCTGTGGCTTATTATTTTTTAGCTGAAACTACGGGTAGCATACTTTTTCAAAACTCTAAGCATATGTATCAGCTTGCTCCTCAGAATACACTATTTGAGTTTATAAGCAAACTAAAGTACATGAGTTCATATGAAGGAAAGAAATAAACATACAGTAATGCAAATGTTGGTTTATAACCTATATACAAAAGATTTGCAACATAAATTTTATGAGAGGAAAATGGACCTATTACATTTTTAAACACACTTTTTAACTTTTTTGCTGCATAGTAAGGAAGATATCAATGTTATTCTTATACTAGTATCTCAAAATGTTTAGTCCAAATACACTGTCAACATAACATACCATTGACACATTCAAAGACATCACAGCACTTGCCAGGTGTTCCGTCTCCACGTGACACTATTTGGGGGATGTAGCCTGGCTCGCATTTTGGAACACCACATAAACCTGAGAGACATTCGCACCTGAAACCGAAGCATTGAAAGCTCCATAAATAAGTGAAGGAACACATGGGATGAAAAAAACAAACGGAAAAAAAGCAACTTGTGAAAGCCAAATGGTTTTTCTCTGTTACATAATAAAATGACAACATGACTGTTATAAACACAACACAATTAAAAAAAAATGTTCAAAGGACAATGTTCAACTTTTATCTGAAGACTGGTGTTCCAAATCCCACAGTAGCTGGGGGAGGTCTAAATGTGTTAAAAAGTCACTAATGTTTTTGATTATATATAATTAGTATCTACTATTTACAGTTGTTGGGAGAATCATTACAATAAAAAACTAAACAAGCACTGTTCTCTAAATCAGTCAGGTTAGTCTCATTAGCAGGTTCTAGATTTAAATGACATGACATGCATGATAAGGTAGGAGAAGTAATCAAGTTATGTATGCCTCCTACTATTTCCAATTAGTTCATTAACATACCTATAACATTTTCCTGTATTTATAATTTAAATTAGTTAAGACTGTTCAGCATGGGATATTGCATAGGTTTGGAAGCTTCTATACTCCCAGACATTTTCTGGACAGAGTTTCTTTTTTCAACAGAACGTATTTGTATAGCTAACTTTAAACTGTCAAGATTTAATCTACTAATAAGAAATATTTAGGATGAGAGTTTTGATTTTACATGAGAGAAATATCGAAACTCTTTTTTATAATCACAGGTAGCTAAGGTAGCATTAGAAAGAAAGAACATATGTCAGTGTTTGCTTAAATATTTATGATTGTCTTTTCAAATACTTAATTTATCAGAATGAAAAATCCTGTAAACAAATGTAGAAGAGACAAACTTGAATTGTCTAAAACTAAAAGTGAGGATTAAAGTAACCATTTTTTTTTTAAATACAGGGGGTGGCCATTTATCCATGAAAGTGGATTAACCTCTTTTAATAAGGAAATTCATATTTGCCATCTAATAATTTATAATTTAAGCTTGATGACTGGGCATTGTCCACTCAAAATTAATTTAAATTCTTGAAATCTTTCTGGCCAAAAAGACCTCTAAATGGCCAGAACTATTAAGAAATGGGAGTGAAAATAATTGTCCTAATCCAATGCTATAATGCTCACAATTATGGCTAAATATGCCTGCTGAGCTTTGAACGTCATCAATCAACATTTCATAGCAATATTGTCACAAATACAATACTATTTAGAGCTCAGTCAGCATTAAGTGTGTTTGTACCTGAAATCCAGCTAGCATATCCACAGCAACTTCTAATTTCATTAGAATGACTAAAATAGCTTTGTGAATTATACTCTGCCTCTTTGGAGCATGTGACATTATGAGACACATAGAAAAGGAATATGATTTGTGTAGAGATACTGTTGCTATCAACCTGACTTCCCCTTCTTCCAATTCCAATTGTTGCCACTGTGCCCCACAGCATTCTATTATAATGGTATTTTAATTTTCTTTGTTTTCTGCCAAGAACTTAAGAATTATAGTTCTAGTTATTTTCTTACACACAGATAGAAATCCAATCTCTATTTCAGAAGTCTTACTACATGGCATATATCAGCCTGGTGGGATAGCCTGGCTCCCCCTTACAAATGGTTTCTGCTTGCTCCCTTTGTGAGCAAAAGGAAGATCTAATTTCATTATTTGAAAAAAAAAGTTATCAAATATCCATTTAAAAATATCCACAACTTTGTTCCTAAATAATATTGTGTAGAATGTGTTCAAGACATTTTATAAAGTTCTACAATATCATCAAAACTTTGTTTCTAGACATTCTTGCTCAACATGCTATCATATGAAAGTTCTACCAACATTGTCAGCTGAGATTAAACAAATGTATTTTTGAAACAGTGATATTAAACTTCTGGAAACCTTTCTCCAAGAATTCTTGCTATAGACAAGAATATATATATTCCTTCTGAAGAGATTAGTTAAGAAATATTCCTTAAAAAAACAGAGAGGGATGGCCGATCAACTTCTATGTTTTTCAATATTATTCATTATTATTTTTGGCTATTATAGTATTTCACTGTCTCTTTGAAGGCACTAACTTAACTTTGAAGGCACTGACTTAACTTTTTCTTCAATAACAGTGAACTCAGAATTTCTTTTGTAAAATGGAATCTTGATGATAACTGCTATGGGAACATTGAGAATCACGGCAGTAAGTAATGAAATAGTCAAGTTAAAAATATTTTGTCCAACAATTTATCAATCAATCAATCAATCAATCAATATATCAATATAAATACTGAGAAAGTGAGAAAATATATCAATAATACAGTTTAGATTAAATAAAGCATAGGTAGGAACAGATATAACATGTTCCATGGATAATTGAACAATAACATTATAGTCAAAGATAGCAGAATAGTATAACAATATTAGAAAAAAGGGATATGAGCTAAGATGCTAAAATGCTTAATATTTCATTAATCAGAATGAAATAAATTAGTCCTTTTTAGTATTTAATATTAACAATTGATTGGCCCATCTCCAGAAATTTCTGGAATCTATGGTTTGGGAAAGAAAGACAGCAAATTAAATGAAAACTATTCAAGCTAACACTGATCCTAAAATGTAGCTTACTAGACAGGGTTTTCTTCAGTGGAGCTGAAATGTGCCATCAAGAGGAAACTTATTTTTACTGTTATAATGAAATACGTTAATTCAAAAAGTATGATAAATGATCTAGCGCTTCAATTTTTATCCACATTTCATATTAGATCTTTTTAATGCTCTTTCTATGTTATTTAAAAGTTTATGGAAAAAGAATACAACTAGATTTATGAAATTCATGGAATGATTAATTGAGCCATCTTTCCAGCAGATGTCTAATTCCAGTCTTTAAAATATTACCACAGGATAACACAGGAGGAAATAAAAATATTAATAGAGAGGATACTGAATTATCATCAGAGAGATGCAATTTTTTCTTTTTTTGAATGTGCGCAAATTATGCTCCATAAAAATAACATCAAACCATATGATAATAACTGCTAATATAGGTTATATATTAAAAACAACTTAAGATATCACAAATTTGAAGGAGCTGTGGTGGTGTATTGGTTAGAATGCAGTATTGCTGGCTAATTCAGCTCACTGCTAGGAGTTCGATCCTGGTTCAAGGTTGATTCAGGCTTTCATCTTTCTGAGGTCAGTAAAGTAAGGACCTAGATTGTTGGGGGCAATATGCTTATTCTGTAAATTGCTTAGAGAGTGTTGTAAAGTACTATGAAGCAGTATATACATCTAAGTGCTACTGCTATTGCTAAATAGAAGCAACTGTATAAATTGCTGGATTTTGAAATAAAGGCACATCAGACATTTTTTTAAAAGAAATTCACCAAGGTGGAATATACCTTATTTTATATAACGTTGTGTTACTTAATCATTTTTGCAAACATGTTTCTCAATGATGAACCAAGGTTGAAATTTTAAAATCATTTAGATGAATGGAACAAGACTGCTAATAAATTGTGATGAAGTCAGAGCTCTGTTAATACTTTACTCTTTAAGTATGCACAGGTAAATGCTGAATCTTCAACTTGACTACAGGGACAGAGGCAAGGGTAGAGGTTTATTGTACAGTAGAAGCCAAAGTCTTACATTTTTTCCCTACAGAAAATGTACTAGTACAGTTCTACTTAAGAATACTTTACAAGTCTATAACAGGGCTGAAGGCATATCGGGACACCCATACATTTCAGAGATCAGTTTCTAGACAGTTTGAAGATTCTTGATTATCTTTCCCCCCCAATGGTTGAAGTGGTGCCTGAATAATCTATCACCCAGAGAGCACACTATTTCTAAAGTGAAATGAGTAAAATGAAATTGAGTAACATAATGTATCACATGTTATATCTTACAGCTGTTAATCTAAAAAAAAAATATACAGCTCCTTGACATATAGGATTTACTGAAAACACATCTTGGTACTAACATAGCCCAACATAATACTTCAAAGATTTTAGGGTAACCCAAAGTATCAAACTTGATACCCATAAAGCCTATTTATACATACCACAAATGTTTTATATTAAATAAAGCTGTATTTTTGTTTTTTCAAAATAGATTTTCCTCAAAACACAGGACTGAAAGAAGGCTATTCCAGAGCTGACAGTCATTAACACTTCTCACAGAATGATTATTCAATCTAGGAAACCTTCCATTTTAAACCCAACTTTCTTTATTAACATTAGCTAACGTAGTAACTTAATAATCAGTATACTAATATACTTAACTTTTTTTGTCACAAGTTTAGCCTCAGTATATTGACTGTGATATGATGACATCAGATATAACAAACCTTGTGGGAAGAGTGCAACATCCATCAGCTGTCAGCCTGACTTGAGTTTCATAGCTATCCACAGGACAGGCAACTTGCTGAACAGGAGGGCATTCCACTGTACTACAGTCCACGCTGAACACTGGTGGGAAACAATTAAGGTAAGGAGAAAAAATGAAATAATCTCTTTTTAGGAAGCATGATGTTAAAAGTTCAACTATTTCATTTACTGGTATGTCATTTGAACTCTGCTGCTGGAGAAGACTAAATAAGATCACATTTAACCAGGAAAATTTAAAAAAAAGAATTGTTGAACAAATTAAGCCAGAGTTCACACTCAAATTTTTACTCAATAATATAGCTTCATCTATATTATTCTGGACACACTGTGTGGAGACATAATTTCCTTGAAGTCCATAATGCTTGGAATAGTTAAAGAAAAAAAAGAAAAGAATAGCAAGCAGTAGGCTGGATAAATTCTATTAGGATGCCAATGACTACATCATTAAGAGATCTAAAAGTCCAAGTTCAATCAGACCATTCTGCAGAAAATCTATCCATATAGTTGCTAAAGGTCGACGCCAACCTGATGAGATTTTAATCAATCATGTCACAGTATAAACATTAAGTGATATTCATAAAGTTTTAAAATCAGTTGTTCAATTATTATAAATGTAAAGAATGGGGCTTTGAGAAGTTTTATTTAGTTTTTTTTTATTCATGGCCAATATGACTGAATTGCCAAACTCAATTATTTTCAAATTAACTGCCTTTGAATAGATTTGCATAGTTGAATTATGTCAGGTCAATAATCTGAGTTGGACTGATGATTTGAATCAGATTAGACTCAACTCATGTATCTCTAAAAATCAGTCATTTATGTCAACCATATTTGTTGTAATGCAGGTGCTAAATGATGCATGGTTTTGAGATCCTATTATTCGTGCTAGAAGATCTACACAAGTTTGTTAAGCTTGCTCGGGAACATGTCCAACAGAATTGTAATTAAAAATATATAATAGGTAATGATGAGCAAAATTTGGGAAATGTGCAGTGAAGCTTTATACCAGGCAAGGGATGTGCAGACTAGATTTAGTGGGTCACTGAGAAATGTATGAATGTGGGAAAGAAAGCTTATTGTACATTTCTTGTTTTGGGAAGAAGTTAATAGGCTAGAATAATGGGATGTTTTGCACAAATATTACAACTTGTTGCTGAATATGTTAAAAGCATTATATATTGGCAATAAAGATGAAATAGTTCAGTGAGCAGGGAGAAAATTAAGGATATCAGGTATTTCCTTTCACTGTTAAATCTATTTATGGATAAAGGAATGACACTAGAGCAGTGCTAGCTGGGACCACGAATGTGCCTATACATTTGAATGCATATGATACTGTGTTGTTGGCTGACAAGCTTAACAATTTGCAGAAAGCATTAGAAAGGTTGAATGAATATGAAAATTAATGCATAAGAGATTAAGATGCTTTGAAAGGGAAACAGAGTTAACAACTGGAAATATTATATAAATGGTAAAAAAAATCAGAGCAAGAGGATGAATTTGTGCAGCTTGATAGAACGTTTACTTATAGCCATAGAGATAGAGAAATTATAAGATGTACAAATGCTGGTGGAACAATATACTGTATTGGGTGTTAAGGGGTCTGCTGCAAGGAGTGAATGCTGCTAAAAATGGGAGCATGCTTCTTTCTTGTTATATGAAAGTAAGAGCTGGATAGAGGAAAAAACCTAAAAGTAAATTGTATGAAATTAAAAGAAATGTGTGGCAAAACAATGAAAGATAAGATCAAGAACAAATGCATGATGAAAGTTCGGAAGAGTAAACCTCAGGTAATAATAATAATAATAATAATAATAATAATAATAATAATAATAATAATAATAATAATAATAATAATAATAATAATAATAATAATAATACTGAATAAGCATGTTTACAGAAAAAAAAATGAGGATTCAACTGCGTATCAAATATATTAGAAAGAAGAGTAAATGCATTAAGACTAATGGGAAAACTGAGAAATTTATATTGAGATGAAGCCGAGTTCTTCAAAAACAGAGAGTTAAGAAGTTTAAAGAAGAAAAAGCAATACATGGAATAATGTATGAACTTGGTACAAGCAAATAACAAGGATAGAAAGATAAGAAGAGTTACATTGAATGATGCTGATATAAACTGAATTTATCTATGTTTCCTTTTTATCTCACATTTAATTTTATTTGGTTAATGTCTTTTTCTATGCTTTACTTCCCTTATCTCAAAGAGAACAGAATGATGAATATGTAGGTGAGTATAAGACAACTAAGTGATGGGCGTGTAGGTGTCTAGATTTATTCCAGCATACTCAATATTTTCTTGGCCTAATCACATGTAGATTTTCATAAATACATTTTCGTCATGTGATGGAATATGATTGTGCCTGCTATCAGCACAAGTGCTAATATTCTGATTCTGAATTCCAAGTAACATAAAATATATACCTAGCAAATCTTGGAATTATACGAGGGCCTTTGGAATTATACGAGGGCCTTTGACAAGGCTGGTGATGGGAGTATAAGTGCTTCCTAGGCTAGAGGTGGCTATTGTATCTTGGCTACCAAAGGCCGTCGTGCAATTCAATTGTTCATTAATTTGGAAGTTCAAGATGGAGAAGTTTAGATGCAACTCCAGAGAACAAATGTGTATTTCTCTGACTTTACACTATATTAGGTAAGCAATTATTACATTTGAAGTTTCATTCTTGTTTGCAGTAAACATTCTAATCTAGCCAAGCTGGGTCTGGGAATCTTCTGGCAAGTTTAGCCAAGAACAACATAAGTGTCTAGAAATCTGAGATTTATTGCATGGGCATGATACATCAACAAAAACCCCTGGTTCTGAGAACTTTCTATCTCTTGCTCTGGATGGGGTTGCATTGCCCCATATAGAACCTACATGTAATTTGAGGAGATCCATCTGGTCTCAAGGCTTCTATTCAAAGAACAGATGGCAGCTGTGACCAGAGGTTTTTGGACAGCTTTGGACAGTTCGTTGTGTGCTGACTGTACCTGTCCCTGGACTGAGATGCTCGCAATCATCCATGCCTTAGTCACTTCCTGATTGGACTATTGTAACATACTGTAACATACTGTATATTGAACTGCCTTTGAAGAGTATTTGGAAGTTTCAGCTCATATAAAATTCAATAACGCAGACGGTAAATGGGCATTAGACATTTGGCATATGTTAGTATTATTACGGTTCGTCATACAATCAGTCAGATGTTCAGACTGGATTTGGCATCATCATCATCATCATCATCATCATCTGCCGCCTATCTCACTATGGGGCTACTTTAGGCTGCTCACAACCATTAAAAAACCCAAAAGAAATAAAACGGAAGTTTAAACAAAACAACAGTAAAATAATAGAACAATAAAGCAAATAAGGAAAAAGAAAATATATATTTGTTTTGTGAGCTGCATTGGCTAGCAGTATTCTTTCAAGATGCAAATAGTTATCTTCAAAACCTTTCATGGCTTGAGACTGGGATACTTATGGAACCATCTCTCCCCGATGGTACTATATGTCCTATTAGATCCGGCAGAAGAGGCATGCACAGGGGGCATTTTGTGAGGGAGTGTCAGGAAGAGAGCCTTTTCTGTCATGGGGCCTACCCTCTAGAACAGAGATCACCAACCTTTTCATGCTGGCGGCCCGGAGGGAAAGGGAGCAGTTGTGAAATTTGAGCACACATGTGTGCACACAAACAGGGCCACATGCGAACGGGGCCATGTGTACTCACACAGCGCTAGCAGCCCCATTTGCGCAGGCGCGCAGATGTTAGCTGCCACTGTTGCTGCTAGCCCTCTGTTCATGTGCAAATGGGTCATGCAAACTGCACGGCACTAGCGGCTCCGTTTGCGCAGGCATGTGGGGCTAGCCATTGCCTGTTAGTGCATGCGCAAACAGGCCACACAAACTGCACAGCACTAGCGGCCCCATTTGCACACGTGTGCATGTGCTAGCTGCCACCTCTGCTAGCATTGTGTGCATGCGCAAACGGGCTGTGCAACCCGCGTGCGCTAGCGGCCCTATTTGCGCAGGCATGCAGGCACTAGCCACCACCGCTGCTAGCCCCACACGCAGGCACAAACGGGTCTGCGGGCTCTAGCGCAAGTATGGGTGAGCAGGCCACACTCTGCAGTGGGCCAGCGGACCATAGGTTGGGGATCCCTGCTCTAGAACATTATTTCCTTGAGATCAGGCTTCCACTGACCCTAAATTTGTTAGATTTATATCCTGCCTTATGTATAGGAGTTCAAGCTGGCATTCAATGCACTCCCCCTTCCTACTGTTCCCTACAACAAAAACTCTGTGGAAGAGGTTGAACCAAAAGAGAGTGATTGTCAGACCCCAAACCAATGTGCAGATTCTTCCAAACTGAATTCTTTAACTGTTTCGTATCTATAAACAAAATCTTGCAAAACTGAATGCTCTATCATTTGCATCTATCATACAGTCCATAACTATCATGGAGGGGCTGTGTTTACCTACCTTCTCTCACACATACTATCCAGACTGAATTGCCTTTTACTTCTCTAGAATATACTCCTTCCTTCCTGGGAATCCACCTCTTCACTACGTTCCATCACAGTGACTGAGCCAAAGTCACCCAATGAGCCCTTATGGCTTGATTTTCCTCAATGGCAACTTGTAGTGTTAACCACAACTACTACGTCACAGTGACTCATTTTGTTTTACTCAGTTCTTTTGAGTTTCCAAAATATTTAATTCCAATGATTATATTTTATTTAGTTAAAGGGCCAGAATGTAAGCAACTGTCGTTACGCCTATGATATATTTTCAAACAGTTGAGAATACTTCTCAGACTATAAATACTATCCTAATCTAGCCACATACAATCTTCAGACTGTATTTTCTATTATACAGATAAAGGTGATAAAATAATAAAATCATTACTCTGAACTCATTCTACTTTGTAGAACAAAGTCCTCTCATCATTGTGCAAGAACATTGGGAACCTCTCTGCAACCTCAGCACAAAACTAGAATACATAGCTGGATTTTTTCCCCAGTCTGACTAACTCATGGATTCAAATCGTTTTAAAGATGATTTCAAAGACAATTACAATCACTACACACTGCAGCCTGTCTTTTTGTGAACCAACAAAATATAAAAAGACTATCTGACTACCTCATGAATTTATATGCCAGTACACAGGTTAATAGCCTGCTACCTCATCTGATCGTTCACTATGGGTTTTTTTTCACGTTTCTGAGGATCCTCTCAAAGACTGAACAATTCTGACATAGTCAAACTTTCAGGCAGCCATATTTTAAGTATCTGCCTCATTTAATTGGTAGGAACTTTATTATTAGGGTTTTTGTGTTTTAAACGTGATATGGAAATGTTGGCCTAGGAGTCTTTTGTTTCAGTAGTGGGAACAGGCACATATAAGAGTCCATATTAAATTATATATAAGCTTTGAAAAAACTGATCAGGACGGGACAGAAAAGAAGAGTACACCTTACCTGGTTTACATTCATAGAAATCGCAGCATTCCCCTGGTTTTCCTGATGCTTTAGAAACCAATATATTCAAATAGCCGGGTTGGCAGACCTTCCTCAAACATCCTGCAGGATTGCAAACACAGCGGCTTGGAAGAGGGCAGCATTCTCCAGGGGGAGCATAGCCTTCAATCAGAATAGAGTCCTCTGGGCAGCGTGGAGAAAACTGCACTTCACAACGTGCTTTGGAGCAGTCCGGTTTTTCTTCTGAAAGCAAGAGAGTTAAGCACACGTCAGGAAGACATTACCTGATATTTGAAGCTTCACAGTGACGAAAAGTCGTGAACACATATTTTAAAAGTTCTTCTTCTTCTTTTTTAATAATGCCACCTACCCAGCCAGCTTACAATGCAGTAGTGATTCTTGAAGAACAGAAAAGTTCATAAAGAAGATGGTTTTACAGGGGATATTTCTAGTAAACATTTTCCTTAAAGATGCACATTTTCCTTAAAGATGCATGTTTGGCCTGCTTGATTTTTTTCTTACAATAAATATTCCATGAGACAAGATAATCACTTGTACTCCTTACAGAGATGAAGACAATGATCACACAGAACACTAAAAATATTTGGTTGCCTTAAGGACAGAAGCCTAGCCAAGTCTCTACATATTTAGACTATTTGTCTATTTCTTAGTGAAGACTACATTATTCCTTAAAAAAAAATTGGAAAAAAATTCCAGGTGGATTATAGGTGAGAGTTATTTGAATTGCAACCATTTACTACATGGGGGGTTCCTTGCAAAAAGTGTATTGGCACAAGGCTTACTGTGAACTGAGTCAGGTTTCTCAGAAATGTTGGTCTCAGCCGATGGAAGAGTTTAAATTAGTTCTTTAGTTATTATTTTAAGGAGTACTACTTTTCATTTTAGCAGAAGTTCATAAAAAAGCTACTATTTCAAACAATAATACAAAATATTTTTAATTTATTTATTTTTATTTTTTATTTGTATCTGGCCTTTATTATTTTTTAGAAATAACTCAAGGTGGCAAACCTATCCAGCACAACTTCCTCCTCCTATTTTCCTCACAACAAACTGTGATGTGTATTGATCTGAGAAAGAGTGACTGGCCTAAAGTCATCTAGCTGACTTTCATGGCTAAGGCAGGAGTCGAACTCACTGCTTTCTAGTTTGGTGTCTTAACCATTAGACCAAACTGTCTCAAAAATACCAACAAAACCAGCAATAAAACTCATACTAACAGCAATAAAAACTGCAGCAGGCTAAATAACCTGTTAAAATCAAGTAGATAATGCAATTTTTCATATGCAAAACAGATACAATAACTTTTTGTCACATTCCACAAGATCATATAATTGTTTTAAGTCAATGGATTAAATAGGTTTGAACAATGGCAGCAGAGTGAAAGAAATTATGCTGCTTATTTGAGCATAAAAGTTGTTAAAATTTAATTCCTTTTTTTGGCAATTTATTAATTTTCCTTTGTTTCGCATTAGGTATTCTCCATCTTAAAACAAAATACTTAAAGCCGATTAGGAATAAATAAACCATTTTCTGTTACAGTAGTCTTGGATTAACATGAAGAGGCATCCACAGATTTAGTCATGAGAATTTTCCCTACTAGTTTCCACATTCACAGGATTTGGGAAATCAAAGGTTCACAGCAAGGACAAATAGCTAGTGAGATAAGCCAATGCAGTATAATAGTTGAATAGTCTCTCTACTTTGATTCAGATCTTGTTCTAATATGTCTCCCATTGATACAAAATGGCTTACATTATCTATCTGTCTATCAAAGAATAATCAATAAAAAACAGCAGCTTATCACATCTGTCTGTAAGAATCCAGAAGACCACTCTGCTACCATCTAATATAGGCCACATATGGTGTTAGTAGTAGTTAATAATTGCAATTTTTCCTTTCTCATACAAAGCATGCAGTGTTTTAAAACCTACTTGAAAACAAAAGCTTTTTTTATGCATAGTAATTGTTGCTAATAAAACATACTTTGTAAAATGGTATGCAAATAATGCTCATATAATCAGCGGCACTGGATGTTATCACACAGCTTGCAGCACACTCCTTCATAACTCTCAGAAACTTCAAATAACTTGCATTATTTTGGTTTTCTGTTTTCACTTTTGTCAATTCACATGTTAGTTAGATGCAGCTATTCTCTCTCTATACCCAACTTTTTACTAGCTTAACCCCCTCATGCAATGTCTACTACTGTCATCTTTGCTAAAACAAGTGCTGGATCTTCCTTATAACTGGGAGGAGGTGAATCAAAAGAGTATAATTATTACAATATTTAGTTTTTCAAAGGAGCATAATTATTACACTGTTTTAATCTTTTTAAATAACTCGATGCATTAATAAACCCATTATTGTATAAACAATATTAAAATAGATCAATGCCTCCTTGTAGAGGCATAGGAATAATTAGTGGGGTAGTCTATCCTTGCTTATTTCAGTTGTGCAGTGCTGAACCAGTCAAGAAAATGGAAAGGCAAAGACTTGAGAGTAAGTCACAATTCTGACCACAGAGCTAAACATCAGTAACTAGTTGAGAAATAACTTTCTGTCCTACCCTTCCTTCTACGACCACCATCTACAGCTCATAAGTATCTGAGCAAACATTTAGTAAACATTAGCTGAAAAATGGTCTGGAAAAATCCTGCAACTTTTTAATGGGGCATAATGCTTAGGATTTTAGTGAAGTGTTCATGCACTCTGAGGGTAATTATTTCCAATTAATTTTGCATGATAACCTCAACAATTTCACAATTGAGTTAAGAACATTTAATTGGAAATGTTATAAGGATGTGTTTACTTGTTATCATCTAATGACTAAATTGTATTTCCTTTCTTCTTTCCATTTGACGCCTGAGAACAATAGTGACACTGCAGATTCCTCTCAACATCTTATGAAAGATGTTGTAAAAAGATTGTAGTAAAAATTGTAGTAAAAAATTAATTCTGGGAGCTTGATTACCTTCTTCGGTAGTCAGATTGTGATTTTGTTCCCTATTATCACTCTGCATTAGTGTTAAGTGCTACTTTAGGAACGGAATGGACTAGGGTAAAGTATAAAGACTGTAAAAATCAGCTGATTACATATTGTCCTGATTAAATTATTACTTAATTTTTACAATGTATTCACTATTTTGCAACTGATTTAACTAATAATTTTTCTTCATTTGTCAAAAGTGTTCAAGTCTCACTGCATTTTAGAGGTTTCCATGTTATCAGGCCACCTGAATGAGGCTTGGGCTGTATATCTGCAATCTCCTACTTTACAAGGCTTAACTGGTTTTGAACTTTGCACAAATCTCTCAGCTACTTGACACAGCGTGGCCAGATAAAATCTTTACTGCAAACTAGTGAACTCAGATGAAATGGTTAGTCCTATGTCCGCATGGCAGGCAACCACTGTATCTTTTTCCTACCTGTTCCATGTTTCAAAGGACTCTTTGCCCTGCCCCTCATAGTTTTGAAGGCATGAAGGCCTTTCCACTTGTTTCAAACAAATGCTACTGTCCTGTCTGCAATTTGGAGATTATCATAGCTATTTTAATTGGCTTCTAACCTTGCAGAAAGAAACCATCACTCCCTTCCCTAGCATAAGTCTAGTTTACTCCTATCTTTACTGCATTGTCAGTGATTTTTACTGTTAATGATATGGAGGTTCTAAGGTATTTCTCAAGGAACAACAAATATCTTATGATTTCTTGACCTCTTTATTATATAGCACGGGCTGCCTTCACTGAAAGAATAAAATAGTAAAAACCAAGAAAACCCAGGACAAAAAAAGATCTGAAATAATGGTCATAAATGCTTTATCCAATCTAGACTTTCAGAAACAGTATCAAGGAACAAGAAAAGTTGCACATACTGCATAATACAAATAAAATGAAAATTGGGACATCATCCACAGAAAAATTAAGCTAAAATATTGATGGACAGAAAAAGAAGGGAGGAAAACATGTTTAAAAAGAATAAAATTTTCAGCCTGAGAGCAATACACAGCCCATAAGGCTACTCCATCTAGATTACCATTTTTCATATTTTTCTTCTCTTGTAACTCTTGAGGATGTTCATATTGCATAGTAGAGAAAAGGAAAACAACAACAACAAATATTTATTCATATCTGGAGCATATCTAATTTAAAAATTAGTTTATATGCACAAATAATTGCTTTTCCAACTGGTCTGAAACCAGCAATGAAAAATAAAAGTTACAAATTTAAATAACTTACCACAATTGACAAATCACATTGACAATTTCTGTCAATGAAGATTATTGGGAAATAATCTTAATAAACAACGGGTGTATCTCCAACAAAATGATTGGAAGGCTATATGCAAAAATATCAAATATTTTAGAAAAGGCATAAGAGTTACTGAACATTTACTAGTTTAAGTTGTGTTTACAGTAAAAATATAATTTGCTTATTCTAGCTCTGAAATCTAAATCTTTGACCAAACTTGACATGCTAGCTAATGTACAACATGCAAGAATTGCCAGTATGATAGATGTTCAATGATTTCATATTACATTTTATTACCTGGAACATTTTTGTTTCATCATAGTATTTATGAAATAAAATAAAGTTTATTAAAGCACTGCATAGCATATGCATATTTTAAATATGCATAGAAGTAGTCCTCGACTTACAACCTCATTTGGGACTGGAATTTCTATCATAGTCGCAGAGGTTGTAAAGTGAGTAATCACATGACTGAACCTGATTTTATGACCATTTTTACCATGGTTGAAAAGTCAATCCAATTTTCCTAAACCAGCAAAAAATGTCACAAATTGCAATCATATGACTGAAGGATAATGCAAATGGTCATAAATGTGAATTGGTTGCCAAGTGCCTGAATTGTGATCACAGAACTGTATGGTGGTGGGTGGGGCAATGACCTTACGTGCGAGTACAGGTTGTAAAGTACTTTTTCCAGAGCCATTGTGACTTTGAACTAATGTTAAATGAATGGACATGTATCAAGGATTACCTGTAATAACAGGCAATATTTATCAGGGCTGTACTAAATCCTTTGGAAAAAGTTCTTTGGAATGGATTTTATTTCTCAAAGCAAAGGTGCTGTGCATTTACAGTGACAACTGGGAGCAATTTTCAAAATTGCACCAGCCTGGGAAAAAAGCATGGCTGCTTTAATAATCAAAAAGGGAGTTTCCTATACTCTCCTTTGTTCTGAAGCATCTCTTTTGAAGAATT